AAGCCCTGATATTATTTTGTTTGAGTCCTGGATCTGCTAATGAATAATTAAATGCGTCATTGAGTCAAACTACACAAGTTCGACCTTGTATTTTTGGTTGCTTATGTTTTTGTAAAGCAAGAAGTTTTTTTTTACAGCACGTGTATGTAGGCCTATAGGCCTAAACGGAGAAGATTGCTATAACTCCTGGTGGTGTTATTATGCATGTACATCCATACAAATGGGCTACATATGATCATAATGATGCAATTATATATTTTATTGCTTTATTATACTCTTTGCTAAGAATTGAACCAACCAGAAATGTTATATATAATATATAGAGAGGGCGACAAACATATAAAATCACGTTTTCGAAAAGCACGTATTGTTCTGACCAGGGAATTTTTTTTCTAAAATATGTCTGATTCAGAAGATGATTATAATTCCGGAGAGGATGGTGATTATGTACCATCAGGTGCGACTTTTTTCACTTGATGCAGTATTAAATTAGGCGTGGAAAAAGAGGGCTAGGCCTAGTGCCCAGCTTAATAATTTAGGCCTTGGCTAGGCTAGGCCTAGAGTAGGCTGCCTTAGGTAGGCTATAATAGGGCCTAGGCTCTATCCTAGGCCCTCGAAAAGCGACGCTCACGAATAAGAGCCTCACTGAACCCTCCCAAAATTATCGAGCATTTTCGGTAGCCCTGCTAGTAGGCTACAGTAGTCCTTTTGGTGCTAACGCACTTTCGCGCCTAACATAATTATCCTAAATTTTTTTTTACCTCAATGTTGCAAAGTGGTAGCCGCTCGTCGTGCTAGCGAGCACAGATTCGCTGTACTTATTTGCGGGCTTATTTGTTGAAAAGGTACTTTGTGAGTGGTTGAATCATGTGAACATGTTTGTTAATTATATGTTGTGACTGAGAAGAGCATTGAGGTAAAAAAATTGAGAATTTGAAAAATTAGGTGCGAATACAAAAGTGCATAGCGCCGTTTTTTAAAAAATTTTATATAGGCCTAGGCCTAGTTGTACTGTATAATAATAATTTTGTTTATCAGCAGATGTTGTCTCCTGCATTATCAGATCAGCCTACCTTTTTGTAATTAGTCCGAATCTGTGTTTTCTTTTGATGTTAAGTTTGTCACCATTTGAGACTATGCCTAGGCCTATTCAGTCTTGAGAGTGTTCTAATAAAGAATGAAACATAATATCAATATGGCCTCATGTCTCTCATTTTTCGGAGTTACCAAACTCATCTATCAGCATGGGGCCTATTATAATTTTTTTACAGCTGAGAAAAAGTGTTTTGTTTTTGTGTTTTTGAAATTGCCACAGATACTGTATAGGCACGGCACAAAAAATTTCAAATCCCATATAAACAAAACAATTTTTATATCAAAAACTCAAGGAAAAGTAATCATTTTCTAAAAAACTTGATTTATATGAATAATTTAATATATAAGTCGGAATTTTGGTATAGGGTTTGCCAATTAATCTGTGACCTTTTCCTGTTTTGCCAATGATTGATTTAATTAAATGAATCGATGTTAATTCCTTTGTTTCTTCATAGATGTCAGTGAAAATTGTACAGACACTATTTTTAGGAACAGTGATGATCAACCAAAATGTTGAATCATTTTGACTGTATTAACCCCATCAAATTAGCCAAGAACTTACCCCTTTCCCCGTAGTGTGTTATTTAACATGGATAGGCCTAATCTGTAGTACTAGTAGTGATACCAAAAATCAAAGACAAAGTTCCTTTTGTGTACATTTTCAGCCAAGTTCAAAACTTCAATGGATGACTGGCTCTAAGGGGATGCGACACGGAGGGATGGTGCTGGGGGTGTGGCAGGTAAAGCAAGTGGGGTAGGGGG